CTTTCTTTCCACTGGGGTCTCATACACAGAGATCCTTCATGTAGGATATTTTTGCAACAGTGTCTTGGCTTTCTATCAGGCTTTTTTTTTTTTTTTTTTTGACAGGCAGAGTGGACAGTGAGAGAGAGAGACAGAGAGAAAGGTCTTCTTTTGCCGTTGGTTCACCCTCCAGTGGCCGCCAAGCAGCTGCACCACAGCACCGGCTCCTGTGTTTTATCTTACTATCACTTTCTTCCGTACAGGACACAGAAATAATTGAATGTAGATAAATAGACCAGATCACAGTACACAGTGATAAATGTTAGGCCACAAATATTTTCTTGGTTTCCTTGTTTCCCATGTGGAAAAGAAATTATTAATTATTTTTTAATTAAATGAGTCACAATATTTATGAAGAGGTAATATGTTGATTTCTCAGATAAAATACAATCCTTGATTTTATTAACAAAGTGTTAAGGTAATAATTTTCTTTTTTTGTTTTAAATATTTATTTTATTTATTTCAAAGGTAGAGTTACAGGAGGTGGGGGAGACAAAGAGAGAGGTCTTCCATGCACTGGTCCATTTCCCAAGTGGCCACAATGGCCAAGGCTGGGCCAGGCCAAAAGCAAGGATCTAGGACATTCAACTTGGTCTCCCACATGGGTGCAGGGGTTGGGCCACCCTCTGTTGCTTTCCCAGGCATTAGAAGAGGGCTGGATCAGAAGTCAAGCAGCCAGGACTTGAACTGTTGTCCACACGGGAGCTGCAATCAGCGACATAACCTTCTAAGCAACAGCTCTGGCCTCAAGGTGTTGTTTTTCAAAGTCTGGGCTCTGGAGCACATGAATATTTATTGGAAATGCAAATTCTCAAGCCCTACTTCAGAACTACTTAATCAGAATCTCGTTGGATAGGATAGCCCGCTGATAATTCTGAGGCATGCTGAAGTTTGAGAACCACTGTTTTGAGATGGGAATGAAAAATACTTTTTGGGTTGGTTTGTGACAACACAGAAGTTACTTTTCGGTTAGATCTTAAAAAATGAGACGTAAATTCTGGAGACCTATCATACATCATAGTGTTAGAATTAATAATAATGTATGGCATACTTGAAAATTGCTAGGAGATTAGATTTAAAGCATCCTCACAAAAATAATAAGTATATGGGTTAGCAATGAATTAATCAGCTTGATTTTAGCATTGCACACTGTATATGTATCTCAAAACATCACATTGTACATCATAATTATATCGAATTTGTTATTTAAAAATTAAAAATGAGTCAGAATTCTCTATCATATTTCTTTTCCCAACTAAACAAAATTTGTTATATATGGAAAACACACATATTTAAAAATATGATGTTATGAGAAAGCAATAGTTTTGAAATTTCATATAAGATGCCTTCCTGGAGACAGTGTTGCACTATGCATCAAAAGCCTCAAAATTTTTCTTGTAAGAATTTATCCAAAGGATAAATTCACAAAGATGAGTGCTCAGAAATGTTTATCAAGTCATTGCTTCTAAAAGTAAAACAATGGCAATCTACTTCATTGTCTACCAGTTAAATTAATTATAGTATATGAAATTAGATTTGCATATTTATTGACATAGACATTTGTGATTATTATAGAATGAATATAAACCATAATTTTAAAAGGATATATGAGTAAAATTTCATTAAAATAATTACATGGGTAGTCATTTACTGATGTATGTACATAGAAAAAGCTGAAAGGATGTATACCAAAATGTTAGCGATGAAAATTCTGGAAATGTATATATTATATATATATATATATAATTTGTGTTTATTTTGCTTATCTCTGTTTTTGAATGTGAAACTCCAACCCTGTGCGAAGAAATACAAAAGTTTCAAAACAGCATAAGCTAAAATTCAACAGGCTTCTTACACAATCTTATCACTAGGGACTAGAAATATTTATTTTAAAAAAGTACTGCATTTGTCCTAGAATATTTGGAAGCAACTAATCCCTCTTGTTATAACAGTTCATAGTCAAGGTTAGTGGTTTAAAATCTGGCACCAGTTCATTTCTGAGCATTTGTATTATTACTAGATAATTGTAAAAATATGGTTTTCATTTTAGAAGTTCCTGGAAAAATAGAAACAGCTCTGTAATGGGAGGCGAGATATCCTGGTCAGCATTTGCCACTAACTTTTTGTATGAGTTTGGAAATTTTAGTACGAACCCCCTTTTCTGGCCTTAGTTTTCTCACATAAAAAGTAACTGAATCAGACGATCTTAATGGCCTTTAGTAGCTCTAATACTTTAGGGATCTACAATGCATTTCAAAGTCAAACTGTCATTAGAGAGCTGTATGAAGGATGGAGGTTGAGAAACATAGCATAAAATAAACCCAAAGTCTCTCAAATGCCCTTTAAAGATGTTTGCTTCTAAAGTTTGACAGGATGCTGCTGGTACTTCTCTTTCTTAGTAAGATTGCTGTCTTAATGTAATCTTTAAAAAATATTATGTTAAAGATCAAAAGCTTTTTGAACGTTGGTATACTTATGACACCTGGTGGTCAAGTCAAACATCACAGCTAAATTCTAATCCCCCAGACACTCATTCCTATGCTCTCAGTGAGACCTTTTCTTTACTTCTAGATTCATCTGTCCATCATGCATTCTGTGATTCACTCAACAAAAACTTAGTGAACTCCTCATATGTTTAAGGCACTTTACTAAGCACTTTACTATGGAGGAAAGGAAGAAGAGGACCAGTCTTTGATACGTAAAAGATCGTTATGTATTTAGAACAACACAATAGATTGCATGGAAAGGTAAATAACCACTGCATGTTGAATGTGCTAAGTGTATTCTCACTAAAGAAAATTTTCAAAATCATGCATACAATGAGGCCAGAGGAAAGACTTGTGGTTTGGAGAAATCAGGAAAGGTTTCAGGTAGGAAGTGAGTCTTGACTTTCTTGAAGTCTCATCTGTAAGGTAACATCAATATGTTATTATTTCATAGGATTTCTGAGAAGATTGATTGAGAAAGTATATGCAGAGTACTTAGCAGAGCACCTGGTCAAAAGTAGGCGTTCAGTGATTGTTAATCATTTTTATAACAAAGCCACAGGTGACTAGGAAAGATTTCATGTACATTAACTGTTCTATAATTCTATCAAGACCACTTCTGATTCATGATTGTGTGCTTTTTTAAAATTTAGATTGATTATACAGAGCATGAGATTATTTTAGTTAGTGCATTTGATAAACAGACAAATAAACCACAATAAAAGATGGCGTGGAGTCTTTAGAGTTTACTAGAATAATTGGTTGATTGAGCAAAACAGTTAACTAAATGCAAAAACACCAAAAAAACTCATTGAGAATAGCTGTTCGCCTGAATGACCTAGTTGTTTGACTGCAATAAACTGTCAGTTTGGTAAATACAGTGTTTCTGAGAGCCTCACATGGTCAGTGCAAAGGTATCAAGCATGTTGTTTCCCACTGTACAGGCTGTACATAGGTTGGCTACATTTTTCCATTCTTTTAACTGACTGTGTTTGAAGTTGAATAGACACTATCTCAGACTTTATATTGTTTTCAAAACTCATATTTCAAGTGTTGTTGCAAAATGTGCATTTACTTTTGTGCTTGAATTTACTTTTGTGCTTCCTTTCCTTTATTTCTGTAAAATATGTATCAAACTAAAATTTCCATTGCAAACAATAAAGAGTATAAAGGAGTATTAAAATCACACTTATAGTTTTGCTTCTACAATAAGGTGCATAAATAATATTTCTTAAAAGTATCAAACACTTGGGTAATTGACCTAACATTTTCAAGAATAAAATAAGCTATACTGTAGTGGCTCTTGGCCAGAAGCAATAATGTTCTGACACTAAAGAAAACCAAGAACAAGACCCATGTCATATTAGGAACACATGTTTGCTCTGGAAAAATATTTGATAGGGGACAGAATTGCTGTCTTCAGACATTTGAAGAGATTTCATGTGTAAAGGGAGTAGACTTCAATTTTTGTTTGAGTTTGGCAGGAGGAACTAGGTTGAAATGACAGGAACAAATTTTGACTCATAGAGGGAAGATGTTTATAAAAAGTATGATTATAAAAATATAGCCTTCTATATTAATAACTTTTCACCAGAGTTACCCTAAGAGTTGAAGGAAAGATAATCCTTTTCACTCTTATTTATTTATTGTTTGTTTGTTTGTTTGTTATTGCATCTAATAGCAAACGCACTCTAGTCCTTCATATACTTTAGTAGCTGAAATGATTACAAACATAGTCTCAATTTAGCATGATTGTCTGAAAACACCATGATTTTGTTAATAAACACAAAAATTCAGTTGCAGATGCTTCTTAGACGCACCATGAAATGCAAGCAAGACTAAGTCTGTCCCTCGTAAAATTCTGAAGGAGAGAGGCAAAGATTATCAGAATTGTACTAGCTTTTCCAAGATTCTACTCTTGTAAGGCCTAGTGACCTGTCAACATATCCTCAGGTTCCTATCCCATATCTTGTTCACAAAGTTCACAAATACACCTCAGCAATCATAGAATCCTTTATAATGTTGTAGTTGAAAATGGAGTAAGTTTTTTCTCTTTTAGGTTTGATGATAGGGAACTTAGTTACATTTCAAACTTTGAAAATACAGATGGTAACGACTGGAAAACAGAACTGTGGAACTCCACAAAGGTGTTGGGATGTATATATCAGGGCTGTTTTGCAGTGAAGTCTTGCCAGTTGATTACCTCTGCAAGTTCAATTACTGCCTCTTACAACTAAAAGGAAAATATGACTGTGGTTATTACCAAAATGCCAATCTTTTTTTATTCATGGAAATATCTTTGTCAATGCTGTTATCAGTTTGTAGATGAGCGTGATATTTTTGGTTTACATAGACATGTTTTCATTTTTATTAAAGTTCACACCTAAATGTTTCTATGGTAGGAAACAAATATGCCTATATACTGATATATGGACTGGTTTGCCCTTGACCATATTTTTGTTCTGTTTTCTGCAGATATCATCATTCTAATGCTTTCCCTAAGGAAGGAACATAAATTCTCGAGATGGGAAGTAACAGCACAAACAGTACAAGAGCAAAGTGCACTGATCTTCAAATGTCATTTCAATACTCCCTGTATGCTACCACTTACATTCTCATATTCGTCCCTGGTCTTCTGGCCAACACTGCAGCCTTGTGGGTTCTGTGCCGCTTCATCAGGAGGAAAAATAAAGCCATCATTTTCATGATCAACCTCTCCGTGGCTGACCTTGCTCACGTGCTGTCCTTGCCCCTCCGGATTTACTATTACATCAGCCACCACTGGCCTTTCCAGAGGGCCGTTTGCCTGCTGTGCTTCTACCTGAAGTATCTCAACATGTATGCCAGCATTTTCTTCCTGACGTGCATCAGTCTTCAGAGGTGCTTCTTTCTCCTCAAGCCCTTCAGGGCCAGAGACTGGAAGCGGAGGTACGATGTGGGCATCAGTGCTGCCATCTGGGTCGTCGTGGGGACTGCCTGCTTGCCAATCCCTATTCTGAGAAGTGCTGGCTTAGCCAACAACACCAAATTCTGCTTTGCTGATTTAGGGCTTCACAATATTAGCATGGCTTCCTCGATTGGCATGGTAACTGCAGCTGAACTTGGAGGGTTTATATTGCCTGTTATTATTATTACTTATTGCACGTGGAAAACAAGAAAATCTTTACGAGAAGTTCAAGTTGCCCCTCAGAATACCAAAGAGAGGAAAAAGGCTTTGAAGATGGTCCTGATGTGTGCAGTGGTGTTCATTGTGTGTTTCACTCCCTACCATCTTAACTTCCCATTCTTCATGATGGTGAAGCAAGAAGTCTTTTCAAATTGCTCTTTTATTAAGAGCACTTTATGTTTCCATATCATTTCCCTGTGTCTTGCCAATCTGAATTGCTGTCTTGATCCAGTTATATATTATTTTATGACCTCAGAATTTCGTGATCAATTTTCAGAACATGGTGGCTTGGTTCTTCAGTCATGTGTGAGATGCAAGAACAGTGCTTTGGAAATTCATCAAAGGAAGGAGGACCTTCAAACCATCTCTCTTGAATGTTTGGACGATTCCAAGACAATGTAATCACATAATTTGCTAAAGTGATCTATATACCCTATCAATTTAGCTACATTACTTCGAAGACTTACTCTTTAAAACTGGTGCTGTTGAGTGCTTTAATTAAATATGGCCGGGCCCCCTTTCCTTCATAATCCAAAATGATACCACTGAAGGAATTATCCATGCCTGTTTTGTGTAGACGGATACACACTGTCCTATGAAACATGTGAGAAGGTATGTTAATTTACAAAAAATGATGAGCAACAGGATGGATTGCACACCTGTTCCTCAGCAATGGGTCTAATCTTTTCACCCTCTCCTGAGAGAAAAAAATGTGAATTGAACACAGGTGGCCTTAGGGAAATTTTCTAACATTGAAAACTACATATCAAAACAACATACTCCTAGCTTTATTTAGAAAATACACACTACTTGAATAGAATATGTTGAAGAGGAAAGACTTTTTAATATTAATTTGAGTTATGAAAATAAAACCCTATAACTTAAAATATCTATGAGACCTTTTTTCTTCTTGGGTAAATAAACAATTCAGGTGACCCCAAATATTTCAAAAGTATCATGGAATTTATGCACAGCACATATACATTAAACACGAAATAAAATTCGATTATATCATATTTCACAAACTTGAGTTTCAGGAATTCTAATGATGACTCTCATCTTGGGCATCTGAGTGTTTGTGATGTGATGCATGTTTTTATATAATGACAGTCATTCCGAAATCATTTTGTTATATTTGTTCATTAAAGTCAACTGTACCATGGTCTGTGTCGATTTACTGCTCTGAATACAATCTGAGTCACAACTTCCCTTGATGTGCATGAATCAGTGAGTTAATAAGAGTCAAAAATCTCTCATACAGAATTCCAGTTGCTAAACCCTAGTCAGATCACATTTCTCATAAGTAAAGATATATGTAAAACAAATATAGTTGAATTCAATTCTATTATTGGTAGGGAATGAAAAACTGCTAGTTTTTAAATCTATTAAGTTAGGTCATTTTATAATACTAATCACTGTCTTGAAATTAAAAAGCAGTGGTTAGCTTCATGAAATTATAAAGGCTTATTTCCTTGCTGGTATCTAATTGGAAATCCACAAAATGTTTTTATTTGTGAAAATATTATTGGTAACAGATTGCTTATCAAAACAACAGCAGGTAACACTTACCACACGGGAGTAAACAGGGAGAAACCTAGATTTTCTGAAATCTGGTAGCATACTATATTTTAGACTGTTGTATCCTGTAGAAATGATCATGTAACTCTACAAGTACCCAAACATTTAAAAATACGTTAGGTGCAAATATTTCTAAAATATATTTTGTGCCCACTAAAGCAGTTTGTGTTAAAGAAGGGAAAATGCTATATGAAAGAACTGATCCAGATTCAAAGGGCCAGGATCCTACTTTCAGGCCTGCCAACATTAAGCTATGTATTTTGAGCAAATTACTTCTCTCTAGGTTTCAGCTTTATTATCTATATATACAGGGGGTAGAAAATATTGGGATCAATATGAGATATATTTTTTATAAAATGTGTTCTAATTGCTAAATCAATTCACAAATGTTTGTTGTAGTTGTTATTATTGTTGAAGAATTTGAACACTAACATTTAATGTAATCTTTTCAGGTTCACAAAGGATCATTGTTATAAACATCAGTTATTTTACTGTGTCCATTACTTCTCCCAGGGCTATTGAGATCTGTGTTGACATTAAAATGGGCCCATGAGTTTTTGTTCTTATTTTTAGATATATGTTTAGTGCTTATATCTCCACATTTTCAAGCTATCAGTTCTTACCTCCTGCCACTGTCAGTGGCATTTCTTAAGAAGTCCTATCATTTAGATGAATTCTTTCGAATCTTTGGTGGCTTTCAAAGCACTAACAAAACTAGTGAAGGCAGTTGTAATTCAACAAAAATGAGTAAAAGTCTACTTTATTTATTTTATTTGGAGAGGTTATGTGTGGAAAGGGGGAAATCTCCTATGGAACGAAGTGTACAGGGTTTAATTTATAGGTTTTATGACATCTATTTTGGCAATCCTGAGCTATTTAACTTCCTTCCTGGCACTGTCAGCTGTGTTTGGATAGGTGAGATTGCCAGGTATTTGAATTCTGGATTACTGAGGTGTGATTAGCTATTTTTGACACTTGAAATTCTTGGAAAATAATTAGTGTCAGATAGAAAGAGACATAAGTAGAGAGCTATAGATACAGATTTAAATTTTGGATCTATCCAAAGCCATTATTTGCTTCATCAAGAAATAGTTTAGGGGCCGGTGCCATGGCTCACTTGGTTAATCCTCTGCTTGCATCCCATATGGGCGCCGGGTTCTAGTCCCGCTCCTCTTCCAGTCCAGCTCTCTGCTGTGGCCCGGGAAGGCAGTGGAGGATGGCCCAAGTGCTTGAGCCCCTGCACCCATATGGGAGACCAGGAGGAAGCACCTGGCTCCTGGCTTCAGATCAGCACAGTGCCGGTTGTAGCTGCCATTTGGGGGATGAATTAACAGAAGGAAGACCTTTCTTTCTGCCTCTCTCTCTCTCACTGTCTAACTCTATCTGTCAAATAAATTTAAAAAAAAAGGTATATGCCATGAAGTGACTAAGAGTATGCTTGGGTAATGTGTCAAACGTACTGTTAATCACTTAAAAAAATAAGACTAGAGAAAATCTACTATGAACAACTATATGCCAATAAATTGGATGAGTTTGCAGAGATGAATAAATTGCTAGACAGGTACAACCTACCATTTAGGGGGTGAACCAATGGAAGGAAGACTTGAAAAAAAAAGAAAAAAAAAGAAATAGTTTATTCAAAATTACTTCATTACTCTTAGTGAGATTATTTTCTATTTTCTGTAATGCTTTTTAGAAAACATTTCAGTCTGGCCATTGTTTCTTTCCTCTTCAGAAGTACTTTGTTGAAATTCCCTTTTGTATTTAAAGTCTATCTGAGATACATTAATCCATTTCTGGCAATTGTCCTATTGCGATTGTGCATAATAAACTGTTGTGCCAGCATCCCATATGGGTGCCAGTTCATGTCCTGGCTGCTCCTCTTCTAATCCAGCTCTCTGCTATGGCCTTGGATAGCAGCAAAGGATGGCCCAAGTGCTTGGGCCTCTGCACCCTCGTGGGAGACCTGGAAGAAGCTCCTGACTCCTGGCTTTGGGTCAGCCCAGCTCCAGCTGTTGCGGCCATTTGGGGAGTGAACCAGTGGATGAAGACCTTTCCCTATCTCTTGCTCTCTCTGTCTGTAACTCTGCCTCTCTACTAAATAAATTAAAAAAAAAAAAACTTAAAAAAAAGATGTTGCTTGGAATATCCACATCCCGTATTGACATGCTTAAGTTTGGGACCTGGCTTTGCTTTTGATTCCAGTTTCCTGCTAATGTGAACCCTTGAAAGTATTCCTACAGTCCACATGGGAGACCTGGAATGAGTTCCTCTCTCTTGGCTTTAGTCTGGCTCAGACCTGGGCATTGCAGGCATTTGGGAAGGGAACCAGAAGGTGGATGATCTCTCTGTGTCTCTCTATTTCTCTGTCTCTGTGCCTTTCAAATTAATAAATTTTAAAAATCAATCAAAAATCGAAATTTTCCTCTGCATTTACCATAACAACTACTAGGGGCTAGGGGCCTATAAAACACTTCTTTCGGCTGGCACCGCAGCTCAATAGGCTAATCCTCCGCCTGCGGTGCCGGCACATCAGGTTCTGGTTCAGGTCGGGGCGCTGGTTTCTGTCCCAGTTGCTCCTCTTCCAGGCCAGCTCTCTGCTGTGGCCGGGAGTGCGGTGGAGGATGGCCCAAGTGCTTGGGCCCTGCACCCGCATGGGAGACCAGGAGGAAGCACCTTGCTCCTGGCTTTGGATCGACGCGGTGCGCTGGTCGCAGCAGCCATTGGAGGGTGAACCAATGGTAAAGTAAGACCTTTTTCTCTGTCTCTCTCTCTCTCATTGTCCACTCTGCCTGTTAAAAAAAAAAAAAAAGAATGGATTCCAAGGTTGACATTGTGATGCAGTGGGTTAATCTGCCACCTGCAATGTTTGTATCCCATATTGGTGCCTGACTGCTTCACCTGTGATCCAGTTTCCCAAGTACTTGGGCCCCTGCCACCTAAGTGGGAGACCTGTATGGAGATTCAAGCTCTTGGCTTTGGACTATTCCAGTCTTGGTCGATGTGGTCATTTGGGGAGTGAATCAGTAGATGGAAGATCTATGCCTCTCCCACTCTGTAACTATGTCTTTCAAAAAAAAAATAAACCATATATATATAATTATAAGACAATAATTACTGTCTTAACAAAATGCAATCCCCAATGTTCATATAAGATCAATTCTAGCTGAATAGACACCAAAAATGGTGGATCAAACTTCCGTTTATCAAACAAATCAATTTCACTTTATCTCTGTTACTTTTGATTTCCAAAAGTGAGACATGATTTATTTTCACTCTTAATACTGAAAGCTGAAAGAATGGTATGGATATTAAAGTTGGGTAAACTTGGGCTTAAATATCAGCTCCTTTATTGACTATTAAACTTTGGATGAGTTACTTGGTCTCTTGAAGATGTGACTTCCTCAATGGAAAGAGAAATGAGCAAGCCATACATTACAGAATTATCATGAAGTCGAAGCAAAAATATGTGAAAGGTCTTAGTATGGTTTACGGCATCTATTAGATGTGCAAGGCATTTTAATGATGTCAATCTGTGTCATGTGTAATAGGTATTAGTAAGGTATGGGCTTTATTGTTTTATCTTTTTAATGTAAAGCTAATACTGTATTTCATCCATCTGGAAATTTAGTTTGTGTGATGGGCATGGTGAAAAATCATGGAATAACCTCTTCACCCGATATCCTGCTTCCCATACAGCCTACCAATTTTAGCTTAAAATTTACATGAGAACGAAGCAAAAGGAATGAAAGATGGTAGATGTTAGGAGGTGTGGCTCAAAATGAAACAGAAGCATGATATCAGTATGTAAGCAATCAAAGGAATTTTTAGGAGCTGGTTCCCAGCACAGGCAGACACTTAAGCCCTTGGGAAAAAAACAAAATTCTCAGTATTTAATAATAGATGCTGATTCATGGAGACATTTAATCTTGGTCATATATGTAAATAAGTCCTGGTGATACAACTATTTCTGTGGAAATTGAAATTCACTCTCATCTAAATTCCTGAACTCTACTACTAGTAATTTTGTCTTAATAACTGTATGCTTGTTTGACTCAGTTTATAAGTCTGATGTTTGACACTCAAAATTTCACTTTGTTGCCAAAGATAGAGAATTGACATGAGTAGATCTTAAAAAAAGAAAAGGAAAGGAAAAGAAACGAAAGACAGTGAGGGAACATCTGTCTCAGTAGTTAAGATACTGTTTGGAAAGCTCATATCACATATTGAAGTGCTTAGTTCGAGTCCTGTCCTTATTTCTGATTCACTTTCCTATTAATGCACATCCCTGGGAGGCAGCAGAGGAAGGTTCAAATATGTGGATTATTACCACCCACATGTGTGCTGAGCACCTGGCTTCAGGCTGGCTCAGCCCTGACTGTTGTGAACATTTGGGGAGTGAACCAGCAGATAAAAGATTCTCTCTCTCTCTCTCTCTCTCTCTCTCTCTCTCTCTCTCCCCCTATATTTTAAGCAATGTGAAAACAAATAAATACAAAATACAAAAACAGAAAGGAAGGAAAAAGGAAGAGGAAAAGAGGTAAGGGAGGTAGGAAAAAGAGAGAGAAGGCAGGAGGAAGGAAG